GGCACCGACTGACAAAAATATATCATAAAAACCAGGTTATTCAATTTTGCTTAAATCCTCCCCACTGTTCTAAGCCATATCTAAATGCTGAAGCAAAATAAATGCATATTCAAGATTCACAAATATTTGGAACATCATTCGCTAATACGTACTGTCATCTGCTCATTAAGTGAAACATTTGGAGACCCCTTCTTCAGTATGTAAAATATCAAAGATCAGAACATGCGTGGACTACTGACTCAACTAATAATTTCATCCCACACTTTCTTGTCTGTTTATAATAAATGCTCCTAAAAGTCAAAATCTAACAAATGACCACACAGAAACAGAGTCTCAAGTAAATTTCAGGCAAAAATACATCGTAAGTACCAAAAATAACATTGTTAGCAATACATACTGAAAAGCTTTGTAATATCTGTACACTGAGCTTTCTTCATTATCTAAAAATTGGTTTTTTTTTTTTAAATAAGTGAGTAAATTAGAGGTAATGACAATAGAAAAATCGCAAAAGATTTCGTAGACTCTGTGATAGAAACAAAAAACAAAATATTCATTATTTTTGCCCAAAAAAAAAAGATTGATTCCGCTTTGCCTTCTCTGACCAAAAGATGAACAAAAAGCTTTAAAAAACTTTGTTTTTTTCTAATAATTAATTCTTTAAATGACTGTATTATACTCTCTCCAGGCATCGCAAAACCTTGTTTGATGCTAAAAGTTTTCAAGCACTCAATCAATTAAGTACTCAATGGTTTCCCACCAGTCTGATGAAACAGTTGAAAGCTAAGAGCTGCGAACACTAAATCCAGATTCGTCAATTAGCAATAATTAGCACTCTCCAAAAGTGTTGACTTTGCTGCTAGTCAAAGCTCTTTTTGGCACCAAACGTCTATTGCTCTAAAATTCTTAAAGTATGCGTCATCTTTTCAAATTATTGGCTGAATACCGTAGGAAAACACTAACTGAAGGTAGCTCGTTCCTTTAAATCCTCAGCAATATCTTTCTTCAGTAAATTAAGTGATAGAGTAATCAGTTTTAAAAACTGGCTTTCAAAGGTTTTTTTGTAACAGTCGCTTTAATAAACATCAGTATATGTCTTGAATCAAAATTTTACAATTTATTACAACAACCAAAAAAGTTTGAAATATTTTTTTCTAATTGTAGTATGAATGCTTCTTGAGATAAGACAGTAAAATCTTTGAGCTGCAAGGTAGGATCAGAACTGATCTTTGAAAATCGGTCCATTTAAACGGTCCGATACTTGTAAAAGCGTTCAGTAGAAAAGGCTTAAAATAAAAATGTAAATCTGTTTTATAAAAAGTATTTTCGTAAGATGCTCAGCGTAAAATCAGGTGTACGCAAGTTGAAGACAAACTACAAAGTACTAACGAAATAACTGAAAAAAAGTATTCTACAATAAAATTAAGCCAAAAAATTGAATTAACAAGGAAATTCACAAGCAATTTCTTTGGATAAACAGAAGTCATCAACAAGTTTATATCAACGATGTATAATCGATTTACCCCAGCCTGTGGAATTCCACTTACCCAGCGCAACTACTCATCCTCTGCTTGAGCAGCACTTTCTGCCTTTAACTAAGCCGGACCACAGTTACTGCAATACAGCAGTAGCTTAATGTTTTCGTTTTGGACAGAAAAAATATGGCACTGTTTTACTTCTCTGCTCAAATACTATCGGAAACGAGAGCTTAAATGTAAACCACAAAAAATTGAATATATCTTCGGTTACTTGTCAAATGAAAATTTTAAGCTTTTGATCAACTGCTCAAAATGCAGTTACCATCCGTTCAACGACACTGCGTTCAGCAAAAAAAAAAGATCCAATTATCCAATAAGCATACTGAGATACGTTAATAAACAGATTCATATCCATAAACAATCCATAAATTGTTGCTCAAGTGTCAGTACCCCAATAATTCTAGTAAAAGTTTAAGAGTACTCTGCAGCGTTTACTACACCAGGCAAACGTATCTTCTTCCAAACTTGATCTTTCAAGAATGGCACCTACTGTCTGCAAAACAGAAGAAGAAATTACATGGAACTCAAAAATTCTTCTGGCTAAATAAAAGGTATCACATGTTATATAAGAGCATTACTTTAATGAAAAAAAAAAAACAAGCGTTCTTGATTGTTAAAAGCGTAAAGCAATCAATAAGGAAAGAAAAAAACCACTAATGAGTTTAAAAAACTCATTTTTGATCAACCAAAGACGATTGTTCTATAAAATTATACTAAATTTCATAAAAGAAAAGTGTTTCAGATATAAAAAAATTTAAGCACTCAACAAGACTCGATACAAGTTACTGACTGCACAACGCTGAAAATTGTATTTCAGAATCTCAACTAAGATAATCAGCGTGAACAGTTTGTCGCTGGAAACCCACTAGCCGAAA